TATATATGTATAATAACTACAACAGCTAGGTTCACTAGTTGTTCAGATTTGTATCTCATTTAGAAGTCAGAACAATGTCACAGTTTCCCTCTCTTTTCCCTCACCTTCTGTCCTGCCATAAGTCTGTGACAGAATAGCAGACCTCAACAGTGAATTCAGTGGGGTTTTCATGTTCAACTCACAAGGACTGTCTACTACAAAATGTCTGCTCACTGGAGGAGTATGTGAATGAGTTTTTGGATCTGTATCACAAGTCATGCAAGAATTATGAAGCTCTCAATCCCAAATACTTAGATGACATCCTCTACCAGATGCTGCTTATGAATAAGGTTCATCGGCCACTGGTGGAATGAATTGATAACACCCTATGGGTATGTGGATCATCATACACCTTGCATGTGGTGGAGGAGTCTTCCCAAAACCCCTGTCACCTTCAGTACTCATCACCACACCTGCTCCAATTCTGAAACTGCCGTCGTCCAGCACTGACCTTCCTCCCATTCCAGAGCCCATACCTGCCACAGACCCAGAGCCCATGCCAAAGATGTAGAGGAGCCTGCCACAATGTCTGTCCCAGAGCCTGAGCCTGCCACCAAGTTGAGCTAGAGTGGCTTATTGACCTGCATGCCACAGAACCAGTTCCCACACTTGTCTCCGCCCTCTAACCTCTTTCTACTCTGCCGGTCAAGTCCTGCTGGCTTGATGTCCTGGTTCTTTTTGGAGTCCTTCCTCTCCTGTTGATTTCATCCAACCTTTAAGCCTTTTCATCTCCATTGGTTCCGTCCAGTCCCTGAGCTTCCTTGTCTTGGCCACAGAGGCCATCCCAAGTTAACTTTTCTTGGCCATAGAGGCTGTTCCAAGTTTTCATCATCTCAGCCATGGGGGCCATCCCAAGTTTCCTTGTTTTGGCCATTCAAAGCTCCTTCACCCCGCTGGTTTCATCGAGTTCATCGGCTCTCTCATTCCTCCAGCTCTGCCTTGATGCTTTGGGCATCACCCTGGATCCACCACGGGCTTCCAGGCCTCTGGCTGCTTCTCAGCCCTCCGCCCCTTCGGCCCCACCAGGTTCCGCTTTCCCTTCGACTCCACTATTGTCCTCAATCACTCCGACTCGACTACGGTCTTCCAAGCCCCAGGTGCCGCCTGAGTTCTGCCCTTCAGACCAGCTGTGCCATCCTGGGTCCTCGGCTATACTGTCAGGGTTTCCCTCTGTCCTCCCTCACCAGCATGTCACACCAGACTCTCTGTGCTGATCACTCATTGTCAATCATCTCTTCATCAAGGATTGTTTCAAGCTCACACACAAACACACTGGTTGTCTGCCGTCCTCATTGTTCACCTCATTATTTCCTCTGTCTTGACTCCTTTCCTGTGATTACCACCTGCAAACCTCAAACCTTCCATTCACAAATAAACATAAAATATCAAGCATACTGTATAAACATTAATATCCACATAAAATAAATTCACAGACACAAGTGTTTTCCAATGACTAAATGTGTGATCATCAACATTGTTAAGAGTATTTCCCTTTATTAATAAACATACTGAGAAGGTGGGAGAACATCTTACCTCATTTGTGTCACATGGGAATCAAACTCATGTTGGCATTACTAGTATCATCTACTGCTTTTGTATCCTTTGTTTCTGCAGTTGCTGCTTCATCGGTGTAATTTTATTGTGTATAAACACAGGTGAGCACCTTAACAAAACTACATTTGAGAGTTAAATGAATTCTGCATGTATAAATGACTGACTTTACAATAAAAGTATGATTTCAGTGTCTCTGCAGGTCACAGTAGAGGGTGTTATTGGCCGTTCTGTTGTCCTTCCATGTTCTTCCAAAGATGATCATAAACTTCAAGACAGTGATGTGCATTGGAGACGCAATAATGATGATATTATATATAGTATAATCAAGGGTAAAGATTCAGAATTGGGACAGGACCCACAGTACAAGAACAGAGCTGAAACGTTCCCAAAGGAATATAAGAGAGGAAACTTCTCCATCAAACTCAACAATCTTCAACACACAGATGCAGGAAAATACATCTGTTACATCACATGCTCATCTGATCTTCATACTATTCTGTTGCTCATCAATGGTGTGTAAACTGGTTAGTTTTAATTCAAATGTTTTATAAATTCTGAATACAATGAGTATTTGACCAGCTAGTGATGTTCCAGTCTGAATGCTGCTGGATATAAATTAATGACTGATCTGTTGTTTTTATCACAGTGCAGTGATTTTGTTTTTTCTTTACTGTTTTGTTGCAGAATCAACAGCAGAAAAAGGAAACAAATCCATTGAACAAGAAAGCCAAGGAGAAGACAGTGTGAAGAATCCATCCCCTGTCCTTCATCGGACAAGATATGCTACTATCATTGCCTTTGTATTACTTGTAATTGCCTGTTTCTTTTAAGAAAAAGAATTCAAGCTGCCTAATTTTCTTCTGTCATGACAGAAGAACAAGCAGCAGTGATATAAATGACAAACAGGTCCAAAACTCACTTTTCACTTTCTGTAACATTTGTGATTATTGTCTACTAGCTGAATTGTTACATCTTTCTTTGGTTCTTTCGTTTGGTGCTGTTACATTCTTGCTGAATGAATTGCATTGTTCTTATTTTATAACAGAATGAGACTGAAAGATATAATAAAAAATGTTTTTGCTGTACCTAAAGGACAAACAAGCTGGTCAGTATGTTCCTGATTTAATTCTGTGTTCTTTGAATTAGTGAAAGAATTAGTTCTTTGGTCATGTAGTGTTTGCCAATATTAAAATTATTTTGTATTCCTTATGTATTGTTTCATGTTTAAATTAGAACCACACATTATTAATCAAATGTGATTTGTTCATTCCTGATAGCACATCATTTAAATAATGTTTGTGCACAATGTGCACTAAACAAAACACATAAAAATGTGCACAAACATCACATCAATTTTTATTGTAGAATAAAATGTGAAGTCTCTTCAGGTGTCTTCATTTATTATATTAACAAATCGTGACCTTCCATTCCAAAATCTTACAGGAAGTTTCACAGGTAATAGTTTAACATACAACTTCTTTACCAGGCTTTAGGAAAAACAAGCAAACATTTCAGTCAAAGAAGAGTCTTAACCTGAATACCACACCATACCAACTTAAACCGTAACCTAGCCCTAAAACCAGAGGAAAATAAGTTGATCAAAATAGAGTTCAAGTCCTTAACTCATGCCTAACTCTAAACCCAACCTTGAAGTCTGATTGATAGGGATGTTGTTCCGGGACCAACAAGGATGTTGATCTATAGGAAACATGTCCTACTTGGCAAAATCGCATTTACCTCTATATACAAAATCCTCAGGGAAAGTCGCAGATGTGCTCATAGCACACTTGTGTCAAACATACAGTTTGCACCACAAACATGTTTGCAAAAGTGTTTAACATCCCTAAAACAAGATAAATTTAACAAAGAAAGCATTTGTTTTCAGAATAGCAAATAACAAAATATAGTAAGGTTTTGCTCAAAGCTATAACAACAAATAAAAATAGTGAATTTTGTCATTTCTGTCATAATGACAAACATTTCTGCTCCACTAGCCTCTTTCTGAGTTGTTTGTATAGGCCTTTGTCTCTCTGTTGTGTGGCACCCTCTACTGGATAAAAACCGAACCTAAATCTTGAGACCAACTTAACAATGTATTTGCATTATATAACAAATTATCAAACAAAATGAAATTTATCTTAAAGAAAGTGGTTCTGTAAATTCACTTAAGTGAACTTGCCCTTTTGTTTCCCAGTAACAGCATCATTCAGTCTCATATATACAAATGTATAAAGAAAAATGCCAAGACCCAAAAACAAGCCCAACATGTTCCTTCCCATTTCTCAAATGTTCAAATCAGCATAATAGCTTGTGGTGAAATCAGACTCTGTCTTTTAGGTCTCTCTTGATCCTGATTTTTCTGATTCTGCCAGTTCTTTCGCATGGACTCGAAAATTATCTGCCAGTGGTGTAAGTAAAATATTCTTAAAACAAGAGTATTTTACTTACCCCACTGGCAGATAATGTCACTTGTTTTAAGCAAAAATGCGCTTAATTTAGTTTTTTTTCCCCCTGGAAACAAGACTAAATATCTTAAGTCATTTGGCTTATCTAGTAAAAGTATCTTGATTTAAGAATAATATATTTTAGATATTTTGACTAGAAACAAGTCAAAAATACTAAGTAAGATAAGCCATTTTTTTGCAGTGTTGAACCCTCGAACAGCCGTGCCATGAAGGCCAGGCCTTCACGTTTAATGTATGACTTTCCAGCAAAGGTGTAGAGAACAGGGTTTATGCAGCTGCTGATGAAGGTGATAATGGAGCTGAAGCCTCTGAATGTAAATTAGTTGTTTAACTTATCCCCCCCCCTGACTGATGTGTTTCAGTCAAGCTGTGCACACACACCTCCACCATGGTGTTAAATAAAGTTGTTATTTTTGTTTTCTTTGCGCACAAAAAGTATTCTCGTAGCTTCATAACGTTAAGGCTGAGCCACTGATGTCACATGGACTATTTTATCGATGTCCTTACTACCTTTCTGGGCCTTCAACGTGCCAGTTGCATTGCTGTCTACGCATATTCATGGTGTGGAAAGGAAGCCAGGTCAAGCCAAAGGTGATGATAATCACCAGGATGAGTGTTTTTCTCACTTTTCTCACTCATTTCTCACTTCGGATGTGCCTACGAAACCGCGTCTTGCGAATTCTGCACAGGATACACATATAACTGCTTATGATCAGTCCATACGGCATCAAGAAACCCAGCAGAACTTCCAAACAGTGCTGCAGTATCATTTAAAACAATTTTTATAAACCCTAAACCACGCAACCTGATTCACATATTCATGCGCATTACATTAAAATTCAGCACATGTGCAGTGCCTAGTCAGCACGTTCAAAACTGTACGATACGAGTGTGATAATACTAATATAATATAATATAATATATAATATAATAATGTAATGACCTACTGTGAGTATAATAATATTTTTTGCTATATCTAAAAAGAAAGCTGACATATAAATCTCCCATGAGCTTTAATCTAATATTTAGTTAATATTCAGTATCGTCCACTGAGCAGTTTTTTTCCTCTTGCTGGTATTATTTCAGGTTTACACCAAACTTTTCAATCCAATGGAAATTTAATTAAAATTGAGCTCAACTAGATATATTGAAGTGTTTGCATGGAGCCTCTTTCAGTCTGACTGAGCTATCAGTCCGATTACTAATGGACTATTAGCTAGTAATAATTCAAAGAGTGAGACATTCTAGTAGATTGTGTTTGATCACAGACCCTTTTCACACTTCCGAGTTCACTGAAGTGGAATGCATTACAGATAAATAAACTATGATGCCTCTGCTTCCACCAGGTTTCTTGCTAGCTAGCTAGTTTCTACTTTCTACTAGGCCTTATGTGTCTATAGCTAGAGCAGACATTAACATTGTGTCATTAACATTGATTTTTGTCTTTAGACTAGGAAAAGATATTGCAGTGGAGTTTACTGTAGTGTTTACCCTTCTATGACAATTCCGCTCTAAAACACAAAAGCTAAAATCGGACCATTGCATCAGAAATCTCAGCTGTGAGGCTACATGTGCAATTCAGTTGTACATTTTTTTACTTAAAACAGTGATATAGCATTTTGACACACTACAGCACTACTAAAAATAGCTAGTTATTGGAAAAGCAACAGTGAACATCTGAGCTACTGTGGTTTAAACATAGTTAAGTTAGTAGCATTGCTACTTTCACATGTACTGCCCCACATTGCTATATGCATACATTGAGTTACTATTCTTTTTAATTGTTACTAAATATTATTCGTTTGTAAATGTTTATCCGGCAAACATAACTCACATCTTGTGGCAGTGGATGTTTACGAGCACACATTAAAAACTTTGGCTCTTGCTCACTCCAGAAAGTGGTCCAGAAAACAGAGTTAGGTACTGATATTCCCAAAGCAAAAATCCACAGCCCTATCAACACCCGAATGATCACCCTCCGGTCTGTCAGGACACCAACATGTTTCCACCAAACTACAGCCACCATCCTGTGCAGACTCATTAGCGTTATCAAAAATATTAAAGCGTACATGTTGGCACTGCAGAGGTACAGCAGAATCTTACAAAGTGGCAGGGTAAAAATCCAGTTGCGTCTTAACAAATAAACAATGAAAAAAGGCATCAAAAACATCAAGAACTTATCTGCAAAGGCTAGGTTTAGGATCAGGAGGGTTGTGATGGAACGGTGGCGGGTATGAGCCAGCATGCTCCAAATGATCAAGAGGTTTCCAGAGACACCAATAGGTAGGAAAAGGCAGAGGATCACAGCTCCTGTGATTGACCCAGCGCTACGTCTCACGGCTGTGTCAGTAACATTGTTCATTCCAGAGTTGGTGGTGTTGGTGAGAAAGTGGTTGGACATTGTATGAGATTGAGTGCGAGAAGAGAGTGGTACCTTCTTAGAGAACAACAGTCGTCTGAGGAACTCTCGACTTCAAAATGTCACCTGCAGCAACATCAATAGAGACTGAACTATTTATTGTGCATTAGTACAGGTATACATTGATAGACTTCTGAATTACCAAAATTATATTTTATTTTATATTTGACTAGACATGCCCATCATAGCAAACACATTCAATGCCAGCCATCTGTCAAAGGGCCATTAACATGTTACACAGAGAGAAAGAACACAAGTGATTGAACACATATTTATCAGATGAGGGATATGCAAAAAGAAACTGAGGAAAGCAAAGGAGTGGTAAAATTACTTCCTTACAATTTTATAGCATTTGTGTGGATACTGCTACTGAAACCAAAGGTCAGTTTGACCAGGACACCAAAAGTCACACATCTACTCTTAACAAGAAACACCATGGGATTTTTTACAACCACACACTGTCAGAAAAATGTGGGAAAATCGAACCTTTAGAGGTACACCAGCTTGTCACTGGGGTAGTACCATCACAGGAACACCTGTGTACCTTTTCTACTCCTAAAGGGTGCATATTTGTAGTTTATTTAGCTCAAACAGTAGAACATGGTGCTAGCATCACCAAAGTCATGGGTTTGATTTCCATGGAATTCAACCGTCTATTCTGCAACCTGTTTGTCCTATGTAGGGTTGCATGGATGCTGGAGTCTATCCCAGGGTCTTCTGCCGAAGGCATTGAAACACTCTTGACGGATGGCCAGTTGTAATACATGAGCTGATAAAATGTCTACCTTGAATACAATGTAAGTTGCTTTGGATAAAAGTGTCTGCCAAATGTGTACATGTAAAGTGCTAATTTGCACCCTTTAGGCCAGGTGTTCTCAACTCTGATCCTTAAGGTCCATATTCCTGCAGAGTTTAGCTCCAACTTTGATAAAACTCACCTGCCAATAACTTTCTAGTAATCCTGAAGACCTTGATTAGCTTGTTCGGGTTGGAGCTAAACTCTACAGGAAAGTGGACCTCGAGGGCCAGAGTTGATAACCCCTGCTTTAGGCATTGAAAAGGTACAAAGGTTACCTTTGGGGTATTGTACCAGTGACAAGCATTTTCTCTGAGAGTGCAGAGAGTCAGGATCTCTCCCAAAGAACAGTGCCATTTTTTACAATATATTGTCCCTGTTCAAGACCTTGTCCCAAATTGTGCTCTTAGCTAAGAGTAATGAAGGCTGTTTTTTGTAGACCCAGTCTTGGATACGTTCCAACCAGTGGTGTAGTCCTAAAGAAAAAAGTGGTTTACTATTACCCAGTTTAATATTAATTTAGTAATATTAATGCAGTGCACTCTAAAATTGGTTGACAGATAGTAGACTTCCAGGTTGTTCCAGGTCTGTTGA